ACGAAGCCACTCCTGAACACGCTCAGTAACACGGCGCTCCAGGGTGGGGGGGGATGACCGCCTTGCGATCGTCCGGGTGAATTTCCCCATTAGAGGGCGAACGAAAACCTTGCGCTTTTCCCCGCCTGAAGGAGAGGGGCTGGGAGTCGCCCTGGTGGCGGGAGCGCGAATGTGCCCGCCTGGAAACTCTTGACAGGACCTTGTGCCAAAGTCTTGTGATCGCCAGTAATATGACTCCCTCAACACGGGGAGTGTGGAAGTGCCCTTAAAGCATCAAACCCTCCTGCTCTTCATCAAGTAAACTAAACACACACACCAGACGCGCGCGCACAAACACGCTAACCTGACATACATTCATTTAACACTCAGCCTATGAGGCTGAAGATGATCAATTCCAATCATAACATTCCAGTAAAACTAGGCAAACGAGCAATTAAAAAGGAAATGCTAATACTAATTTCCTTTTTGTTGACGTTTGCTTTTGTTGCGTATATGACCAGTGAAACCTAGTTTGAACTAAAACTGGGAAACCTGTTGCAATCCTGCAAACACTTAGGAGGGGGGGCAATTATGTTGAATGGGACTTGCTTTGCTTATACCCTGCCTTTCTCTCGAAGGGTGACCTGAAGTGATATTCTCCTCTCTTCCATTTTATCCCCATGACACATTCACCAGAGGAGGCAGTTTAAGCTCAAAGCCCAAAGTCACCCCAGCAAGCTTCTAAGAAGAATGGGGATTAGAGCTCTGTCGCCCAGATCCTAGTCCAGCACTCTAACCCCTACACTGCTGACTTACTTATGAGTGAACATGCTTAGAATTATACTGTAAAAATACTTCTTATACCTTGTAGAAAGAAAGAAAGAAAGAAAGAAAGAAAGAAAGAAAGAAAGAAAGAAAGAAAGATTACAGAGGAAATTTATAATGACTACAAAATTGGATTGTTGATTGTAGTCCAAGCGCTGCAAGAGAAACAGGTTGTAGACAGCAGCCTTGGGCTTTTCTTGTTCTTTTCTCCTGGGGAGCAAGGGTTGCTTATAGCTGTGAATGGTGGAAATACTACTTTTAATTCAACTGCAGAATTTCAAAGTCTTTCTAGTATGGAAAAGGAGAATGCAATCTTGATTGGCAAAAAAAGGGTGTGTGTGTGTTAAAAGTCTGTCACCTGCCTCTCTTATGTATTATCTTTCAAAGTAAATTACACTGTGTTCAATGTGGCTTACTCCTAAGTATGTGTATACAGGAATTCAGGTTTGATCTTCAAACACTTTTGATGCTTGTAAGAGAAATTTGGGTTCGCTTTAAGTTTTTCCACAGTACTTGAATGGCCACTGAATGAATGCAAGCTTCAGGGCTCTTGCTTCTCTTGGGCAACTTGGAATGCGTCTTCTCATTTTAAAGACATTTACTGTATTCAGTCACTAATGTTGGTGCTTAGATGTTTTGACCATTAGCAATTGTTTGATCTGCTGAGGAGAGGGTTAGAAGTGCAGGATCTGAGGGGCTTTCCATAGTCTGGGGCACTTGGGTTGGATGTGGATAGCATGGGGGGGGGAGTGGAGAATATTTTTGTGCAGGGACCCCATTTGGTTCCTGGCAGCCCTAGAGCTGCAATCTGTATAACTGAACCATGACAACAAACAGTAAATAAATCATAAGACAGTGCCTAAAAATGGACTTACAGTTATTTGCTAAGTTAAACATGACCTTTGAATGATGGTGCTATACAAACACGCATGTTAGAGAAATCAAAATTTTACTATAGCACATGATGGCTCAGGTCAGTATAAGTCATTGTCACTAAGAACATAAGAACAGCCGTGCTGGACCAGATCAGTGGTCCATCTAGTCAAGCATCCTGTTCCACACAGCAGCCAACCAGTTGTCCTGGACAGCCAACAAACAGGGCACAATGACTGAGACCTGATGTTGTCTCCTAGCTCTGACTTTCCAAAGTTTACTGCCTTTCCCTATGGAGGTTATCTTTAGACACAACAGCTGTTGATGGACATCTCCTGCATGAATCTATCTAACCTGTGTCTACTGGCAGCGAATAATTTAATTACCTGTTAGGTAAAATATTTCCTTTTCCCCCTGTCCTGGATCTCTTTCCCAACAACTTCATTGGGTGCCCCTAAATTCTGATACTATGGGAGAGGGAGATAAAGCTCTCTCTATCCATTTTCTCTACCTCATGCATAATTTTATAAGCCTAAAAAGGAAAGGCAAGCAAGTTTTGCTGCTCAGTTCTAAAAGCCCCCAGCATCACAAACTTTAAGATACAATGTATAGAGTAATTTATGTTTACTTGGAAGTAAGTCTCACTGAATTCAGCACAGCTTTTCCAAAGTAAGTCTGCCATCAAGCTTCAATATGATGCATGCTTCACCCAGGGCTCTTTTTGTAGAAAAAAAAGCCCAGCAGGAACTCATTAGCATAATAGGCCACACCCAACAGCAGAAACTCATTAGCATATTAGGCCACAACCCTGACAGCACAGCTCATTAGCACATTAGGCCGCACCCCCATGTTACCAGAAGTGTGGTCATTCAGCCACACCCACCTTTTGCTTCTTATTCTGTTTACCTTGTTTGTTGTCAAAACCCAGGGCTTTTTTTCTAGCAGGAACTCCTTTGCATGTTAGGCCACACACCCCTAATGTAACCAATCCTAATGAGTTTCTGCTGTTGGGTGTGGCCTATTATGCTAATGAGTTCCAGCTGGGCGTGGCCAGCTTGGGAGCCAGCCAGAACTTCGTTCCTGCGCGTTCCTGCCCAAAAACAGCCCTGACTAGGACTAAGACTTAAGCACCTTGAGCCATTGAGAAAGGTGGGGTATAAATGTTTTAATAACTAAACACTAATTGAAGTTAAGAGTTATATTGAAGTTAATGTTCACCATGACTGAGTATATGATCACAGGAGAGCTATACACTTATGAAAAATACGTCCCATGTGGCACAGTTTTTGCTGGTTAACTTGCTTTCTGATCAGTGGATACCCATTCGGTTCTTAACATTACTACTTTGTGTAGCTAGCTGTAGCCTCTAGTAAGACTAGAGTCTACAAAAGGTACATGTGCAGTTGGACATATTGTGAACTTGTGAATAGTTTAGCAGCTATTCAGTATGTGAGGTGATATGCATCTGAGGAGAAAAGCCACTAATAGAACAATTAGGGTGTGGTTAATAAGAGAGACTTTAATGGAACAGAACAAGTTGCAAGAAGGGAGCTGCTTTGCAGATGTTCATTTGTGTGAGAACTGAAAGCGTCTGGGTGAAAAAAAAAAAGCAAAATGAGCCTGTAGCAGTGATCATGTTTCACTAAATGAGACAGAAGAAAATGTCTGGAACATGGGAAATCATAACACATAGTATCTGGTAAGGCACAGCAATGGAAGAACAAGTCTTTGGTAGACAAAAGCATTATAGAAACGATTTTTCTTGGTTTATCCTAAAATCTTAAGCAATTGTGAAACAAACAACTACCAAAAAAAAAAGGAAAAGGAAAATGGAAACAAAGACGCCTGTCTTCTCCCAGCTGAGAAGAAGAAGTAAATTCCATACGATTATGATCCAATGAATTGGGGTGAACCATTTAAACAATATATTTTAAAACAAATCCACTCTATTATTTATAGTTTTGTGCAGAAGCATCATCACACTGTGGTCTGTGTCATGCTTGGGCTTTCTGCTAAAAAAATCCAATCCTACTCCATTCTCTAAGTCACTGTTTTGAGACAAAACAGGCATACAGAAGGTCTCATTTTCCCTCTTTGTTCTCTATCCCACTTATCTAATCATACCCTTTAATGCCATTTCTTTCAGCTGGTTGGGCTTCATGTATGCAAGGAAACTCCAATAAAGTATAATCTCTGTGTAAATGAGAGGAAAGGTTACGATGAAATGAGGGGCTGATAGTAAGGCAAGCCCCCCACCTCAATT